GAAAGAAAATTGTTCAGTGAGAGAAAAAGAGAAAGCCACTCTGTCTCTTCCTTAACCACTAGGTGATTTCCTTTGCGAATAGAAGCTGGACTCTAAGCAGAAAGAAGACAAGCAAGGATGGTGTTAGCATGTAACTCTGTTCATGGAGTTTGGCCTCTTTGTTCTTTCAGGGCCCCTGTTCCCTCCGTGGTCCTCCACACGGGCCTCACTTGATCTTTGATGTGCTACAGTCAATGCCAATGTCTTCTTGCTCTTCCTCACCACTTGTATCTTCTCATTTGCACACGTGGATAATTAGGGACTGTCTCCTTTCCCCCACCCCTCCTTTAGCCTTGTCTTTCCCTGAAGAAACATATTTCCTTCTCAATGCCAACCTGTCCTGCTCAACAGCTTAAAGTTACCCTGGGGAGAATTCTCTTATATTATCCATGAAATGCATAAGCCAAAAGTGTGAAAAAAATCACTTAGAAAAGCAGCTTTCAACAAAGGAGATTTTCTGTTTGGCTTTTAGATTGTATGTGTTTGTGTGTTCTTTTCAATAGAGTAACGTTTTGTGATTTATTTATTTTTTTGTATAATTCTTCAAAAGTTCAGTGTACCAGTTGAAGCTATGGTTCATGGATGAACTCGCAGAGCGGCTCTGAGGAACAGGCAGTTTTTGCCTGGCTTCAGATTCACTTCCTCTCACTGTGTCTCTCGTACAGTAATAGCGTCCCGTGTCCTCTGGCTTGAGGTTGTTCATTTGCAGATACAGCTGGCTTTTGGCATTGTCCCTGGAGATGGTGAAGCGTCCCTTGACTTTGTCTGAGTAGTAAATAGCGCTGGAACCCGAGCTTATGTATGCCACCCATTCCAGTCCTTTCCCTGGATACTGTCTCACCCAGCTCATGCCATAGCTGCTGAAGGTGAATCCAGAGCCTTGGCAGGAGAGGCGGAGGGAGTCTCCAGGTCTTTTCACATCCCCTCCAGACTCCACCAACTGGACCTCAGATTGGATACCTAAAAGGAAAGGTTGTTTAATAAGACATATTCCAGGTAAACACAAAAAAGGAGATAGAAAATGTCTTTTTGGAGGGGAAAAATGTTACCTCTGAGGATTATTGATAATAATATGAGGTTTATCCAGAGCGTCATTTTTGCTTGTTCTAAAGATTCGGGAGTCTTACAGATGGGAAAATATTCAGAGAAGCACTCAAACTTTGTGTTGTTGGGTGTAGCAGGAGAGCAAGAAGATATGGCTCCTTTGAACAGGAAGCCATCACTGAATTTGCATAGCCCGCAGGATAAAAGAGCCATGTGATGCCCTGACTTTCTAAATGTCCTTCAACCTCCATTGTAGACATACTATTGAAATGTTGAAGAAGTCCCAAACAGTCAAGGTGGAATATTTTAATTGTAAGATATATTTCATTACTCCTCTGCTCTTATTGCATCTGCAGATAGACGCCCTGCAGCCCTGTTTCGGATGACGCCAGCCCTCCTGGGTAAGGATTGCTCGGAAAACCTTTTGCAGGGACATTTGGAGGAAATTTCTTGGCATCTGTCAGATAAAATCTCTCGGATTTGTTCTC